AGGAAACAAAACTTCAAGAACACGGCCACACAGCCCGGAAGACCCACACCAGCCATTATACAACCTAGTTTGTGTAGTCTTTTTCCAATTTGCAGCTAATAAATCATGACATATAAAAATCAGCCACCTTCTACCTTGTAGTCTACTACATCATCATCTCAGTTTGTATGTACCAAGATCATCTCTTCCAGTAAGGAGGCATGATATCCACAATACTTTGAGTTTACATTTAGCTGAGTGACAAACCTGTTGATCAGTGCAAACTGCAAACGGAAATCTTATCAGAATGCTGGAAAAAGCGTTACCTACATTAATGCAATTCAGGGGTTCTGTCCTCCTTGATTCATCTAACTATCAGAACATGGTAAAACTTCTTTGGCCATACCAGTTCAGCCTAACTGATGACTGCATGTCTGAATAAATCCACAGGGGAAAAATACCAAATTATAAGGACAGGGAAGGAAAGATCAATCTAGGTTTCTCATTGACAGACTAGGTTTCTATGTGCTAGGAATTTAAACCATCCATCAAGAGCCAGAAGTGGTTCAATCATTAAAAGCTTTAGCATGTTCATGTCCCAACTAGCTCTCTAGTTGAGCGTGGCAGACATTTTCTGAACCAGGTTTTTTGGCTTCTTAAACAAACAACAAACAAACCAAGTGAAACAAGTGTTTGTTAAACTTAGTGAAGGTTTCATCTACCTACAACAGTTGACTCACAATGTAAATAAAAAATAAAATATCACCCAGCTACAGTTCATTGTTTTGCAGCTGAATTTCAGCAGAGCAATCTGAGGAGACTCAGGGGCAGAAGCTACAAAATTTGTGCTGGAGGGACACATGTGGCATCTGCAAACAACCTATTGCCCCCATCTTGTACACTCCATGGAGCTTTAGTCTAGGACCAGGAACATGTCCCTACTTGGTCATGAAATCACTGAGCCATCACTCCCTTTCTGCCCAACACACCTCACAGAGTTGTAGTGAAGATAAAATGGAGACAGAAAGAACCTTCATGCCATCTAGAGATACAACAGGATATAAAAGGAAGCAATAGTTTAAAAGAATGATTATATACTAGGAAGAATTATTTGCTGTAAATGATGGGCCAAGTAAGTACTGAAATGTTTATTTATTTCAGTGGATCAGGTGACTCACTCATGAGAAAGCAGAACACTCTCTAATAAAATGTATTTTCTTGGAATATTTCATATTTGAAAGAGCTTGCCTTAGCTCCAATGAACTCCTCTTCAAATCAATGTTTAGGATAATAGCCTTTGCCAAAGGAACTGTATGATGGCTTGTCTAACTTAGTTCATAAACTTGTCAAATGTTCTGGCTTGAACTAGGGAATTTACATTTGTCCTGGTTTTCTTTTCTCCCCAACAGTAAATGTCTAGGGACTTTGTGAAAGATTGGATCCAGCAACATATATTTGCCAAATTATGCCGAAGTAATGTGGCCTAAATGGGGCAGAAACACCATGAAAACATGTCCAACCGCAACTATCCATTAAACCATAATTTGAAAACAACTGCTTTAAGATAGGGCTGAAATCAAATTTCTGTGTTGTTATCTATCACTTCAAACCCTATTCAAATTATGTTTATTTTGAAATAAGCCCTACCGATTTCATAGAATGTGTTTTGAAAAAGACAAAATACCCAGTTTGTTTAGAAAATACTCTCAAATTTTGTTTTGTTTTTTTAAAGGCCAAAAAATAGGGAAAATATTGCACATCTGGCTCTGGTTTAAGGCAAGAGGGATAGAAAAGCAGCTACAGAAGCAGTTCCTGAGGTCTTAAGAGTAAACTGCAGAAACAGCCACCCTTGAGCTGTGTTTACAAAGTAGAACACTGGGAAAATTGCCTATCTTGCTTTATGAGTTTAAGACAGTCCCCAAGAAGCCAATTGATTTAGAGCTGCCCCTATGGAAATGCAACACTTTAGTTATGGCACCTGTTGTGCCGGTGGGTAATAAGAGAAGAAAGCAGTGACTAGATAAAAGTTCCTCTTCCTCCTCTAATTATGTACCCACAAAGCAAGATTATAAGCAGCATTTTACAATGTCTTTTGGCCATCTTTTACTGGAAGTATTTCTACTCAAGTTTCTGGCCAAACCAGAATAGAATAAGTCTTGTAGCATGGTTTGGCACTCACAGAAGCAGAAGTCAAATTTCAGGGTAGAAAAAGGACACTTCACCCAATCCCTTTTCGAATCCTTTTTATCCACCTTGTTTTACAGGGCCCTAAAAGCTTCACATTTGGAGATGACCACAATTTTTATTTTTTAGAAAATACATAATCTTTGCTAACAGATGTATACTAAGTTTTGATCTTGCAATTTGTTTCTGAAAAAAGAAGAAAAACCAATAAATAAAATTTTGCTATCAATCTTTCAGAAGAAGTATGGCTTCCCACTCAATCAATCATGTAGGATATAATGTGTAGGGGCAAAGAGAAAGCTATAATCTATATTCCTCATTAGAAAGATATATCAAAAGTTCTGTATCTTTTTTTCTGTATCAAATTATGTTTTTTAAGCAAACATAATTTGACTTTTTATACCAACTTTTGAGTTTAGTAACTGAATATAAAGACCAACATCAAAACTGCCAAGATCAAAAAGTGCTCTAAAACTTGAAGGCCATCCCGCTAAATTCAAGCAGAATTTAGATTTTAAGTTTTATCATTTCATACTTCGTAGTTTGAGATGTGAATTTCCCCATTTTTATGTGGGAAAATTTAACTGAGAATATTTTCAAAATATCAAAAGTGTTTTCGCACAAAGTACTTTTATCCATCCTCATCAAAAAGGTATACTTCAAATAGCGTCGAACTCACAGAGAACTTTTAAAACAATTTATATTTCCTGAGATTAGGCTGGAACCCTGTTATAAATTCAAGATGCCCCAATTCTCTCTCCTATAGGCCAAAACAATATGTGTCAGTAAATGCAGTCTTCCCTCTCTCCCACAACTCAAATAGACACAAGGCCTCACAGCTGCTCTTCCATATAACTTCTTGTTACAGCATGGAGTAGTCCTATTGATTATATGACATAATTCAGAGCACCATCTACCACCATGTTAGTCTCCATCTTTGACACGCTTGCTGAAATCATACTGATCAAATGGGAAAGGGAAATCATTGCAGCTCCTGTCCCCTCTCCCTCACCAATAATAATGGTATTTTATAGCCTCAGTGCCTCTTCAGATGGGTTGAATTCCTGGAGTTGACCATACGTCCTGGGAGCTATGGGAATTGTATTGCCACACAACTGCTACAAATCACTTGAAAAAGGCTTTTGTGGAAGACCATCCCAGCTTTCTTCTCATTCCCCTTCCTACCCTGAGCTTTCTTTGGTCCTGACCCTTCTTAGAATATCTTTAACTCTGTACACCACCTTGACTCTTGATTTGACTACCTTATGAAGCTAATGTAGTATTATTATTCTCTGAGATCAGTGTCAAATAGTGCCAACACAATTTATATCACAGTCTCACATATCTGAAGTCCTTTATCAGAGTCCACATATCAGACTTTGGTTGAATGTCTAGTCCAGTGTTTCTCCACTTTGGCAACTTTAAGATGTGTGGACTTCAACTCCCAGAATTCCCCAT